GGTTGTTCCGGGACTGTCTTCTGCTGTTTTCCTCTATAAAGCACATGGACTAGCCTTTCCCCTGTCAGGTTGTTCCGGGACTGTTTTCTTCTGTTTTCCTCTATAAAGCACAGGGACTAGCCTTTCCACTGTCAGGTTGTTCCTGGACTGTCTTCTGGTCCAGCCCTCCTGAACTCAATATTGAAATTATTGAGCTGACAAAGAATTCCCAACTCTAAAGACAGAAACTTTCATTTTCACTGTCCGTCATCATTGTGGTCGTTAAAGCTCTTTCCGCTCAAAGTCCTAGACCGTCCTAGAATGTGTGTGGTTGAGATCTGGCCAGAAGCTTCTCTTTACAGCAAATGGGAAGCATGAGAGGCAGCCACGCTGGACACAATGCAGAGACCAATAGACTGTGGGAGCCCAGTCCCAGCAGGTGCATCAACATCACAGCTCCTGCATCTACAGCCCAGAAAACAGCGTGGAAGAGGGGGCAGAAAGATTCTAAAAGCCGGAAAGCCAGGATCCTTCTGTGAAGCAGTCAGTCCTAGAAATGACTGTGTAAAAAAGACTGGAACAAGGACAATATCAGACATGCTGATGTGGAAGGGGGGATTTTCACAGGGTCCCATCCCTAGACAAAGAACATAGGTAACTAATAATTGCTGGGAGAAGGAAAACTATCCTCTCCCAGGGGTGAACCTTCCTTATGGGTTATCCAGTACAAAATGGTCAGCCCTGAAACCACAAACAATAAAATCGGACTCAGCAGATTGTGTTTGTTTACTTGTGCATAAATACCAATCATAAATATACACATGTATAGCATATATGTAACAATAATAATCAAAGAAAAAGAGACTATGGATTTGAGAGCTGGGGGTAATGAGAGGGATTGGAGGGAGGCTACCTGGAAGGTACTTAAAAGGAGAGATGAGAAGAAGTAATGCAATGTAATTGTTTTAATCAAAATGTATTTAAAATTTGGGGTATATATACAAAACATATACACCAAAATGAATAATAACAAATGAATAAATAACAAAGTAAATAAATAAATCAAGTAAATAAATAAGAAAGCTGAAAGAAAGAACTAGCTAGTAAATTTCCCCATAGCTTTTGCTCTAACAAATTAAGACATTACACAGCTTGCAACAGACAAAGTTGAGGACAATCCTTGCGACAGTGGTGCTGTGGAAGAGGAAGTCACCAGGACACAGCCCCAGGACACTTGCGCTTCAGTCAGCATCACTCCAACACCCATGGGTTATCGATCCCCAGCTAGGCTGACCCATACCTCATCTGGTCCCTCCCTGTGGGGCGGGGTCCAATATCTCCAAGAAGGCTTCTCGGGTCAGTGTCCAGGAACAAAGTCTGGGAGCTGGGCGCGACAGAGCAGAGCACCCAGGTGGATTCGATGGGACACCAAACAGGTCAGCAGGGAAGGGGCAAGAGCAAGGTGACAAGACACAGTGTGAGGGGCGGGGGACAGGAAAACACCGAGGGAGGAGATCTAGAAAGTTCAAGAGCAAAGGATGGACTACAGAAGGCCACTACAGACAACTCTGGGGTGAGAGAAGAGGGCCCTTAAGTGGGTGGCTTGCAAGGGGCTGGCATTCCTCTCATTTGAAGTCAGAAGGGTCAAAGGCTGCCAAGTTTTCCTTTGCCTCTATGAGCCTGAGGCAGGTCCCTCTCTCATACTGCCCATTTGGCTTCAGAAGAGAGGACTGTAAACGTTTTCTGTGTCTCCTTCCTACGGACTAAAGCAAAAACAGATTGGTGATAAATTGTAGAGAGGAAGACTGGCCATAAAGGACTTGGAAACACTAGGGGCACACAATGCCTCTGTTAAGATTCCAGCTCCACCTTCCAGAGCGACAGTAGATCAGTGGTTGGTAGAGGGTGGACAGCAGAAAGGGAGGAATGTGGAGAGCTTGGAGAATTTGGAAAGTGTGGGAGGCAGTGAGACTCTTGCCTGACACCGTGGTGGCGGGTGCCCATCATTAGACCCATCAGGATCCTCTGGATGTACCGTCTGCTCTGGGTAATAATGAATTAATTGTCCCTGTGGCTCTGTTGTTACACATGGAACGCGCTGGTGGGTGCTGATTGAACAGGAGGCTGGAAGAAGTGGCAGGGGATATGGGACAGTGCTCTACACTTCCTGACCAAGGTAGCTATGAAGTGTAAACTCTCTCAAAACAGAAGTCTAGGATTGAGTAGTCCAGTCAGAAGACCAGTGGAATGTCTGAGTAGGACTCCAGGCTCTGCCTGAGCCTTCTGCTGTCAGTGAGAGACATAAAGCAGCTCTTCTGTTGAGAAATGTCACTGGGAGGGGCTTCCTCTGAGGCCCAGAAGTATTGAGGTCAGGTTAAGATCTAGGCAATCAGAGCTCGTGACAATGACAGAAGCCAACATGTGTGCCGGGGCAGAGGTCCTCCAGGGAACTCTGAACATAGCAGGGCCTGACAGACAGCCTCGCTCCAGGTACAAGGGAGTTCAGAGAGATAGACACTTAAGACTCCTAGCATCCCAGAAACCCTGTCATGAGAACATACAAAATACTTCCTGGTGGCTTGGGACAAGGTTAGAAAAAAGAAGAGGAAGAGAAAGATTCTATCTCTTTCCCCTATCTACAATGAGGGGCCAGAGCAGGTGGACATGGCTGTCCCTATGTTCCCCCACATAGTCTGCAGTGCTTACCACCCACAGTGTGCTGAGTGCAGACTGCATCCTCAGGGGTCAGTTGAAGAAAGAGGTTAGTTAGCACTCCAGGTGTTCAGCTAGCACTCCAGGTGTTTCCACAAGGCCAGCATTGTTCCAAATTCATTACTTAATATCTGATTTGCTTTTTGGGACAAGTCTAAAGTGGAGCATGATGATGTTGTCATTTCCATTTCATAGTTGAGACCATGGATACTGTAAGCAATATGGTCAAGACAATGTCATTTACCAGGACTTGAACCCACTTTGAACATCTACACTGAATTTCAAACGGTGGCCCCTACAGGGGGTTCTATTGTTGGGGATATGACTCAAATGATAGGATTTGCCCTACAAGAGCAGGAGCCTGAGTTTGATCCCCATAACACACTTGATATTCCAGGAGTGATGGCACATGCTTATGATCCCAATGCCAGGGAGGCGGAGAAAGGACATTCCTGAAGCTTGCTTGGTGGCATGCTATAGCACGATTAATAAAAAAAAAAAAAACAGAGACAGATAATGGGGTTCAACCTGAAGGTTAGAAAAGCAAAACAGCCAGTCACTGGATCTTACCTATACCTCAGTCAGAAATGGTGATCCTGCCTCCAGGAATCCTCAAAATGAGACTGAGCCTCAAACCTGTCTTTTCCTGTCATGTATTCCTCTCTAGTGCTGGGATTAAAGCCGTGCACCACCAACACCTGGTTTCTATGGCAAACTAGTGTGGCTACTGGGATTAAGGGTGTGTGCCACCACTGCCTTGTCGGTATGGCTGATCAGTGGGGCTGTTTTACTCTCAAATCTTCAGGCAAGCTTTATTTATGAAAATACATATGAAATATCACTATAGGAAGTCTCATGAAATGAGTGATTTCCAGGTAAAAGTTAGGGAATTTGCCTTACAAAAAAAAAAGACACTTGAAGTTGACTTCTCCCCTACACATGCTTAAATACATAGCACATGCACACACACAGCCTTACATAGATACAAACACACATACATACATGAACAATTTCATAAAAGGCAGTTTTGCAATGAGTATAACCATCTGTTACACCAGGATGCAAGTCTGTGTGATGTTTGAGGTTCCGTTCTTGGGTTGCTGTGGCTCATGTCCCTGGCTGAGGAAAATGTTCCTCTTTTGAAATAAACTGAAGGAGATGTGTGTAGACAAGAAAGTCCGTGCAACTCTAAGAGGTAGCAGAGGAGAGGAGAAATCAGTGTATGCGTGCACAGCATGCAGAACCGCGAGTGGGGACCCGGAGACCCCATCTCTGCCTTCAGTTTGATTGACAGGAGGGAGCTAGTAGGTAGGGAAGTGCCAGGGCTGAGGGACAAGGTGCTGTGAGGTGCTCTGTAGGGCAAGGATAAAAAAAAAAGTCGTCTCCTCCCTTCTGCTGTGCTCCAGAACCATGAAGCTAGCAAAAATGAGCCTGGTCTTCACCTGGGGAGCTGTTCTATTGATGCTACAGATGGCAGGCACAGAACCTGCTCTGCGGACTCCTCATGACAAAGCTGGGGTATTTGCAGACCTGAGCGCCCAGGAGATAAAGGCTGTGCACAGCTTCCTGAGGAACAGGAAGGAGCTGGGGCTCCAGCCATCCAAGAAAGTGACTATGGCCAAGAACTCAGTGTTTCTCATTGAGCTCCTACTTCCCAAGAAGAAGCATGTGCTGAACTTTTTGGATAAAGGAGGTAAAAGCCCTGTTCGGGAAGCCAGGGCCATCATCTTCTTCGGTGCCCAGGAGCACCCCAATGTCACTGAATTTGCTGTGGGGCCCTTGCCATTGCCGTACTACATTCGAGAACTTTCCCCCAGGCCAGGGCACCATCTGCCCTGGTCATCCAGACCCATCTCCGCGGCAGAGTACGACCTCCTCTTCCACATGCTGGGGAGAGCCGTCACACCTCTGCATCAGTTTTTCCTCGACACCACTGGCTTCTCATTCCTGGGCTGTGATGCCCGGTGTTTGACTTTTACTGATGTGGCCCCCCGTGGTGTGGAGTCTGGTCAGCGTAGAAGCTGGCTTATTGTACAGCGCTATGTGGAAGGTTACTTCCTGCACCCCACGGGTCTGGAGATCCTTGTGGATCATGGGAGCACAGACGACCAGGACTGGAGAATAGAGAAGCTCTGGTATAATGGGAAGTTCTATGACAGCCCAGAGGAACTGGCTCAGAAATATGCAAAAGGAGAAGTGGACACCGTGGTCCTCGAGGACCCGTTGCCTGATGGCACAGAGCAGCCCCCACTCTTCTCTTCCTACAAGCCCCGAGGGGAGTTTCCCATGCCCATCAATGTCTCTGGCCCCCACATTGTACAGCCCAATGGCCCCCGGTACAAGCTGGAGGGCCACACCGTGATCTATGGAGGCTGGAGCTTCTCCTACCGGCTAAGAACCTCTTCTGGGCTGCAGATCTTTAATGTTCTCTTTGGAGGTGAGCGTATCGCCTACGAGGTCAGCGTGCAAGAGGCTGTGGCACTGTATGGAGGACACACACCTGCGGGCATGCAGACTAAATATATTGACATTGGCTGGGGCCTGGGCAGTGTCACTCATGAGTTGGCCCCCGGCATTGACTGTCCGGAGACTGCTACTTTCCTGGATGCCTTCCACTATTATGACAGTGATGGCCCTGTCCGTTATCCACATGCTCTCTGCCTCTTTGAGATGCCCACAGGGGTGCCCCTCAGGCGCCACTTTAACTCAAACTTTAAAGGTGGCTTCAACTTCTACGCGGGTTTGAAGGGGTATGCGCTGGTGCTGCGGACAACATCGACAGTCTACAATTATGATTATATCTGGGATTTCATCTTCTACCCTAACGGTGTAATGGAGACCAAGATGCATGCCACTGGCTATGTCCATGCAACCTTCTACACCCCTGAGGGGCTGCGCCATGGCACTCGCTTACAAACCCACCTGCTTGGCAACATCCACACCCACCTCGTGCACTACCGTGTTGACCTGGATGTGGCAGGTAGGACTCACTACCAGACTCTCTCAATCGCTTGGCTGCTTCTCACTGATAGATTCACTCCACAGGGGATGGGGTTGAGCTTCTGAATCACATTAGGGTTATTCTTTCTGTCTGCTTCCTAGCAATATAAAGCAGCATAGGTCCCTGACAAATGGAGACAGTGAACAGTGCCCTAGGATTTCCCTGTATGTGGGGTGTGCATCTGTCCTTGCCTTGGACTGAGTGGGTTGGTATACATGGAGTGAGGAAGTGTCCCGGTGGGTTACAGGTTCCAAAGCCTAGTACTTTGAAATGGGGCCCAGTGCCATCTGGGACTGCTCAGTGTGCTTCGTGGATAAATGATGGCTCCACAGAAGAGTGGCAGGGATGTGACACCTGATATCGGATTTGAGAGCAGAACAAGGCCACTGAGACCAGGTGAATAGTTTCCACCTGTGTGGCCCCACTTGACTTCTGACCCATCGTATCCTGATGGTCCTATACAAACATGGCTGCCCCATGCCAAGGTTTAGAGCGCAGAAAATGATCTGAAGGCTGTCATGTGCATGCACCCCATGCCATGACTGACCTGTGACCTGACCTCTCACTCCTCTGGTTTCATTTTCTTTGTCGCTACCACTTCCTTGGTGCCCCACCACTGGACCAATGCCTGCCCTTGGCTCTGCATCTTCTCACTGCTGGCTCTGGGTGTTGTCTGGGGTGGATATCTTATGAACAGCAAGGCTTCCCTTCCAATATTTGAATCTCACCCTCTATCTCCTCTCATGCTGCCAGGCACCAAGAACAGCTTCCAGACGCTGAAGACAAAGCTGGAAAACATCACCAATCCCTGGAGCCCGAGTCACTCCGTGGTCCAACCCACACTCGAGCAGACCCAGTACTCCCGGGAGCGCCAGGCTTCATTCCGCTTTGGACAGACTCTGCCCAAGTACCTGCTCTTTAGCAGCCCCCAAAAGAACCGTTGGGGCCACAGGCGTAGCTACCGCCTGCAGATCCACTCTATGGCTGAGCAGGTGCTGCCACCAGGCTTGCGGGAGGAGCGGGCTGTCACTTGGGCCAGGTGAGGAGACCCAGGGGCCAGGTGAGGAGACTTCAGTGTGTGTGTGCCTGATTGCTTCTGTTCTCCAGGCTCTGAGTCTGTGTGTGTTTGTGGGCATGCCTTCTCTTGCTCTTGGGGAGGGAGGGATGGGAGTGGTGCTCACAGGGCTCCTGGCCCTTGCAAACTGATGGACATTCTTGAAGGCTCCCAGGAGATAGATAGGCATCATTCTGTGGAAGCAACAACTTGCCCGTCTTTGATCCTGAAGATGATTAGTCCCCAGAGTCACTTGACTTCCTGTCTCTACAGATACCCCCTGGCTGTGACAAAGTATCGGGAGTCAGAGCGCTACAGCAGCAGCCTCTACAACCAGAATGACCCCTGGGATCCCCCCGTGGTCTTTGAGGAGTTCCTTCAGAACAATGAGAACATTGAAGAGGAGGTACTGACCCCATTCCCACCCCTGCCCACCTCAGGCCCTGTGGTCCTAGAAGTGTGATTTGGGACTGAGAGCATCTCAGGAAGTTTGTAGAGATATTTTTCAAGACACAAGCCAAACTGCCCTCAGATGGCTGGTACTCAGCACTGCCCTACCCTCTGAAACCTTTGTCTCTCCCATAGGATTTGGTGGCCTGGGTGACACTGGGCTTCCTGCACATCCCCCACTCAGAGGATGTCCCCAACACAGCCACACCTGGGAATTCTGTGGGCCTCTTGATCCGACCCTTCAACTTCTTCCCAGAAGACCCGTCCCTGGCATCTAGAGACACTGTGATAGTGTGGCCCCAGAACAAAGGCCGCAACCATGTCGAGCGCTGGGTTCCTGAGGACAGAGACTGCTTGATGGCTCCTCCTTTCCACTACAATGGGACCTACAAGCCTGTGTAAAGAATCTGGTCCCAGCCTCTGCAGAATAGACCCGGAGCCCCAAGGGACGGGCGGGAAATCCTTCCGTTTCTACCCTGTATGCTGTTTTTTAGCAGCAGGGGGAGGGCTGGCCGTGGTCTCTATTCAGGTTTCAATATTGCACCTGCCAGTGAATTCCATGATCAATGCAAAGGAAGAATGCTGAAATTCTCTAGCAGGTGGGTTGTGGCTTTTTGTTTTTGTTTTTAACATTTGAGGCTCTTATCTTCCTATCAGAAGGCTTCAGGGAAATTGTCTTACTTTAGTGAAGGACATGCATAAGGAAATTGTTATTTGGAAATCTAATAAAATGACACCTTCACCCTTTAGACATTGGTCTGATGTCTGGGTTTACCTCATGATCTCTTTCTAAACACATATTGCTGATTTGTTGCAGTTTTGTCTATAAAATATAAAAAGCCCAAGGCCAATGGGCTAATAAAACAGATTTCAGCCTTCTCTTTACTATGAAGGAAAGAAGGCTGTAATTGGCTTAGAAGAGCATTTTCAGAGCACTCGGAAGAGAATAGGGTGTTAAAAATCAGAAGACAAACAGGTCATGTGAACTATGCACCCTCCCACCCCACCCCCATGTATGTGTGTGCGTGCGTGTGTGTGTATGCATGTGTGCATGTGTGTGTGTGCACGTGTATGCGTGTGCATGTGTGTGTGTGCACGTGTATGCGTGTGCAAGTGTGTGTGTGCCTCAGCAGTTGTCCTACATGGACAATGCCGGTGTGCTGATTGTCACGGAGGTCTGTGATGGCTCAGGAGATCCAGGGCTGCACTCCACCTTCTCCTAAAGTTTGCTATGAACCCAAATTGTTCTAAAAAAAAAAAGAAAATTTATGGTCCCATCAACATTCCACTAAGGAGCTTTAGGTAATCAATGATTGCTAAGGGAAGGGAAAGCCATATTCATCGATGATGTAACCACTGATAGTTACCCTAGCTCCAGTAAATAACTCTCAACCCAAGAAAATGCAGTGATCTATAAGAGGGAGTGATGAATGAATGAATGAAGACAAGAGAGTAAGAGGGGCCTAGTGGGAAGGAGTTTGGCAGGAGGTTAAGCGGATAATGAGGACATTATTAGCAAAGTGTGTGCTGTATTTTCTATGTATAAAATTGTGGAAGGAAATTTTTAATTTTTTATGAGTTATTTGCTTACATTATGTCTACCCTGCCACCTGCCCCCCTCCAAGTTACTAGTCCTCTGGTTCTTGTCATCAGCTCCCTTTTGGGATTTTCCCTGAGTCTCAGGTGTAGGAGCTGCATTGTGGATGCACCATTTGGAGTCGGGCAGTCACAATGGCTTACTCTCTACAGACCAGCTATGGACCTCTGGGATAGGACCCCTGCGTTTTAAGAAGAAGCTTTAATGAGGGTATAAGGATAAGTGTTTAGAAGACAGAAACCATATTGGTTTAAGAAAGTGAAGAAGTGGGTTCTCTTCTAGGGCCTATGACCTGTCCGGCTGGCTAGGTTTACAGTACCATGTGTGAATTCCCTCCCATTGAATGGATTAAGTCTAATTAGACATCCGTTGACTATCCTGAAGATAAAAGTGTCGCTATTGCACTACTGGGGATATCTTGCCATGCGAGTCCTTGTTGTGGTTGGTAGGCTTCTCAGTTGGGTAGGATGATTGGTTGCCTTTTTCCTTGGCAGCTTGCATAGCACCTTCCTATACTGAGAAAGCTAGACCTCAGCGGGGAGTCTTCAGGGCCAGTTCTAGCTCAGTTCCTCCAGGTCCTGTGTAAAGAGTGGATGCCGTCTTCAACAATAAAGCCCTACCTTCAAGCTGCAATGGTAAAAACTTATATTGCTTTGAGGATCTCTTGGATTCCACCGATTAATACTAAAAAGAAGATTTTTCTCAGCCTAGCACTGAGGTTTTTGTTAGATAGTCTTGTGGGAAACATTATCATTATGTGTGACATAACTCCATTTAATGTGTGTGTGTATTTTAAACTTTATTATTTAAAATAAATACTACTTAAATAATAAAAATATTTATTTTAAAATTTTTTTTAAAAATCACACCAAAATTAACCAGACCCGAAGGTCAAACAAATCAATGAGCATCTGCTTGGATAGCCATTCGGAGCAGAAGCTATGGAGCTTCACATTGGGTTTTGTAGTTTTACTATCAGATATATTTTACACACTATCCACTTGCAAAAAATAAAAAGTCCATGACAGAGCTAGAAATATAAAGCAATTAGCTCTATATCATCTCTCATTACTAATGTTCATTACCTAAACCCAATCCTTTCTTGTTCTTTTTTCTATAAGTTATACTGCATCATGTATATATTTGTTTATATCTCTCATCCATCCATCTATCTACATATCTATCTACCTACATGTCTATCTATCTACATATCTATGTACCTACATGTCTATGTACCTACATGTCTATCTACCTACATGTCTATCTACCTACATGTCTATCTACCTATATGTCTATCTACGTACATGTCTATCTATCTACATGTCTATCTACCTATATGTCTATGTACCTACATGTCTATCTATCTACATGTCTATCTATCTACATGTCTATCTATCTACATATCTATCTACCTACATATCTATCTACCTATATATCTATCTACCTACATGTCTATCTACCTACATGTCTATCTACATACATGTCTATCTATCTACATGTCTATCTATTTACATGTCTATCTACCTACATGTCTATCTACCTACATGTCTATCTATCTACATGTCTATCTATCTACATGTCTATCTATTTACATATCTATCTACCTACATATCTATCTACCTACATGTCTGTCTATCTATCTATCTATCTATCTATCTATCTATGAGAACAACAATAATTCAGTTTAATATTTGTCAATTTAGCAGAACAATAGTAATAATTCCTCCCCTAGGGCCTATGGCCTGCTAATCACAGATTCTTGGCCCTGATCATAGCATCATGTATGAATTTCAACTTGTGATTGGCTCCTCCCATGATATTTGTGACAGACAGTATTGCATCAGCAGGCCTGTTTTGCTGTAGCTTGCCCTTTTCTAATTCATACTTTGCAAGCCAGTTTTAACTGAACCGTACCCAGGTGCAGTGCCCCCCGCTGGTAGAAGACTGCAGCAACACAGTCCTCTGAGCCTCTCTGACTCTATCTGACCAGGAAAAGGCGTTTTCCACAGATTCCTCCTTAAGGATTGCCATCTGGAGAGGCAGAGGCAATTAATCACCGATGACAACAAAGACTTCTCGGAACTCTTCTACCTGCTTACAGGCCCAAGGAGTAAGCCTGGCCTCCAGATTTCACCCTTCCTGCAGGGGTGAAGGTGCAGTTAGAGACCCAGAGGGACCCCAAGTGGGAATTCATGGTCAGATAGAGCCTCCTTGTATCAGTGACAGGCACAAGGCAGCTCCCCTGAGGGAACACCCATGAAGAAGGGCTTCTGCTGGTTAGGATATGGAGAAACCAGGGCCTGTGACTGTGATAGCAGTCAGTAGATGTACAAGCATTAAGACTTCCCAAGAAGTCTGCACACAGCAGCGTCCAGCAGGCATCCCTACCCCCAAATATAAGGGTGCACAGAGTGACAGCCACAAAGGTCTGCCGGCATTGCAAGCAAACCCACCCTGCACACAGTACTGGTAGCTTGGGGATAGGGTTAGGCTATGAAAATATTGGCCATGCCTGTCCCCTAAACCAAAAAGAGAAAAGCATCTTTCTAGCTCCTCTGCCTGGGGTGATCTAACTCCTACAGCTTTTCACAGATACCTGGACTTGAGTACCCAACTGGGAAGCCAGAGAAGGCTGAGCAGGGCAGGAGTATTCCATTCTTGCTTCACAGCCTGAGTCCAAACAGTCCGATGAGCTGGAGTCCAAAATTTCAAAGTTCACTTTAAAGAGATATACCCAACATTCCCTGTGTTTCTAGAAAGCTGACATTGTCCCATTCACTTTATGTTTACTGTGTGTGAGCTTTTTAATCTCCACAACCTCAGGACATGTGTGGTGGTTTGAAGAAAAATGGCTCCCATAGGCAGTGCACTGTTAGGAGGTGTGGCCTTGTTGGAGTAGGTGTGTCACTAGGGGGTGGACTTTGAGGTCTCAGAAACTCAAGCCAGCTTTCTTCCTCCTGCCTGTTTATTTGGATGTAGAACTCTCAGCTCCTTCTCCAGCACCATGTCTGCTTGCACATGGCAATGTTTCCTGTCATGACAATAACGAACTAAACCTCTGAAACTGTAAGCCAGCCCTAATTAAATGCTTTTGTTTGGAAGAGTTGCCATGGTTATGGTGCCTCTTCCCAGCAATAGAAACCCTAACTAAGGCAATGGACTTCCTGCTTCTGTCATTTCCATTTCATTGTTAATGCAACGGAAGCCCAGAGAATTCAAACAATGTGGCCAAGAACACACAGGTTGACCTTAGTTATGTGATTTCCCAGGACTTCAACCCAGGCAACTTAACCTTAGAGCCTATATTTTTAACATCTACACTAAACTTCTAAAATGTGTCCTCTAAAATTTATATTAGAAGGTAGTTTTGCTGTCAGCACAGTCACTTTCCTCTCCAGGACATAAGCCCTTTGATCCCTTTAGCACCGAGCCTTGGGCTGCTTTGACTCATGGTAGTTCTGCTGATGGGTGTTTTTCCGATGAGATAACACAAAGAAAATGGGAAATGATGAGAATTTATCTACATAAGACATATCACAAGAGGTCTGTAGATGAGGAAGGAAATGGGCAGATATACTCACAGGGTCTGAACAGCGCTAGGCTGAGTAGAAACCCAGAGATTCCAGCTCTGGCTTAGAGGGCGAAATGCATGTGATAGAAAAAGGTGAGAAATGGCTACTCTAAGGCCAGCTTGGAGCAGGAAGTACTCAAGTTCTGTCTCCTCCTATGCTACAGTCTAGAGTCATGAGGTCGGCATGAAGGAGCCTGGGACTGGACTGGGCAGCTGCCATCTTGGTGATACAATAGGAGAGTGCCCCACGACAGCATCAGGAGAGTGTCCCATGTGGACCCTGGTGATAAAACCCAGGTATTCTGATCCATGAGTGCTCATAGTTGGGGTCGGTGTACACCTTCCTGATGAACAGGAAGAACCTGGAGCTTCTGCCACATGAGTCACTGACATTGGCCAAGAACTCTGTGTTTCTCATTGAGGTGCTGCTGCCCAAGAAGAAGGGTATGCTGAATTTTCTAGATAAAGGAACAAGATATGCACCCCAACCCCAATGTCATTCCTTCAGAACAGTGAACACACTGGAGAAGAGACACTGAAGCAGTCTGTCCTGTCTGCTTCTGGCCTTAGCTCTACCTGGC